AGTGTTACCTCCTATTGCATGTGTTGCCCGATGATCCATGAGTCAAATACCAAACTCAAAGTACAGCTCTCTTCTGTTTTTGTGGCCTTTTGCATGAGATGGGGAGAAATGGTGTCTGGATCACTCACTGAAGTTCGCCCATGTTAAAATGAGAAGGAAAAGAATGCATGTTGTATCTAATTTGTCCTAAGCTACGTGGAAAGACGGATATATTTTTGAGTGACAGGTTTGATCAGAAGCAGTAAGCTTAGAGACATTTCAGGTCAAGGTGTTGCATTGTCTTCAAGATTGTCAAAGTTTATTTTTTCTAACTTGTATATTTTATGACACTTTTCTGCTTGCAAGGTTTTTTTAATATCTGTTGTTTCTGTTGTTTAGTTAACTCTCACTCACGTATGCTCTCTTGCTTATGCGCTCCCTCCCTCTCACATGGCACGCAGAGACATGCATGCACACACACACACCATTAATTGCACACAGTTGTGCTGTGTCGAATGAAAGAATTGATGCAACCAGATGGCAGAATGTTTTCTTTTTGTAGTGCAATCTATTCTACACATGGAGATATGCTGTGAAGATAGGTGGTTGCCATGTTAAATACAATATTTGAAATCTTGCTGTATAACAGAGTTTTTATATTGCCATTTGTGTTTGCAGCTAGAATCCAGATTTTTTTCTCTCTTTTGGAGAAAAATTTGAGAGGGTTTTGTTCTTCTACTATTTTTAACTTCTATTACTCTCCATTTGTCTTTGTTCTTCAAAGGAATATGCTAACAAAATTTTGAAAGGATAACTATATAGCAAACTGAATTTTCATATACAAAAGGAAATTTCACTGTGATTGCGTAGTTTGCTCTGTTTCAGAGTTCTGGAAGGACTCTCAAAGTGATATAAAACAGTGATAAGATGTCAGATTCCTAATATTCTAATTTTTGTTTTCCGCAGATGATTATATTGCTATTGGTGCTGATGAGGAAGAGCTGGGTTCTCAGATTGAAGAAGATATCCTTTATTGTACATCTGTGTATTCTAAAATAAGAGTATTTGTTAAAAGCATTGATATGTTAACAAAGAGTTGACTTGATGCTTATATTAATATTCTTTTATTTCATTTAAAACAAAACCAAGCAAACTCTATTCAACACATTCGTGCAGAAATTCAATGTTTAAAAATACCACAACCTATGTGATTTGCCTTAAAACATGTAGGTATATGCATATATGTGCATACGTATGTGTGTGTATATATACATATGTACTGTTACAGTTACATATCTTTTCCTTACAGCAACAGTGTTACGTCTTGCTGAAGCATTTTGAGACAACATGTTAGGCTCCTATATGTTCTTTAGTTTCAAATCTGTTCTTGTTAGCATTTTCTTTATTTTAACTTCTTGATTTCACTTTCCACAAATTTATTTCTAAGTGAATTTGGAGTTTTCAAGAGAGTTTTTCTGGTAGCAATGTTTAAACAGTTGTAGAGCAGAGGTGTGTGGGTTTTTATGTTTTCATTTGTGTTTTTGGGGGGGGGGAGGGCTTCTTATGCACAGAAACAGTTTAAGCTTCCTGATCTAACTTGCTAATGTGCTTTTGTAATTACAGGCAACCATCATTCCTGTTAAGGAATTTCCTGTTTATTTAAAAAATTTGGAAGATTTGTTTCAAAATTCTGTTAATGAAATTAAGAAACGAATTAATCCTCAGAACGAGGTCAAGGAACTGGTCTTAAATTCATGAGTGATATTTCAGAATTTCTGTTAAGATCCTACCACCCAAAAATCACGTTTCACTGACCATATGTGAAACTATCGTTAGGCCAGTACAGGGGACATGGGATATTGTCTGCGGTGTTGAACAGGAAAGTAACTGTTGTCTAGCATTGGCGGGGGGAAAAAGGACTTGATCGACAGTGGAAAAGCACACTTATTACATGTTTTGTTCCTTAAATCCAGAGCACCTATTTTTCAAGAATTAAAAAACACTGATATGAAATACAAAAATAGGGTACGAAGTAGGATAGCTAATCTCAAGGACACCAAGAATCCTAACTTAAGGAAAAACGTACTTTGTGGGAACATACCTCCTGACAAGTTTGCCAAAATGACAGCAGAGGTAAGTAGAGAATAGGTCTTGAACTGTTTCCCTATTCGACTTATGTCCTGGCCTTGTCTTTATTAGCCATAGAAATAATTTATATATGTTATCTGCACTTTTAAAAAAAACTATGACTTGTTTGTGGCTTGCAGAGTCTGAATTATACTGGGATGTGTTGGGGCAGAAGGAATGGAACCTGTGTGTGTTAACTGTAGAGGACCATTCTCTACCTTGTATCTCTGTTACATTTCTGAAGTTCAGAATTGTGTTTGCAAGTGAATGTTTCTAGTCGTATTGTAACTTCGACTGATTATCCAGCTGCATAAAAAAACTGAAAATTTAAATATTTTGTAGCTTCTGTGTTGTGAAACATCCCAGCTTAAGTCGTACAATTTAAAATGTGTAGAATTACTTTCCCCTTTCAAAACGATATTATTTGTGGATTCTGAATCAAAATGGTATGTGCCTTCAGAATTCTGTGGTACACGTACTGGTAACTCTTTCTGTTGTATGCCCATAACAGGAAATGGCAAGTGATGAGCTGAAAGAAATGCGCAAAAATTTGACCAAAGAAGCTATCAGAGAGCACCAGATGGCTAAAACAGGAGGTACTCAAACTGATCTGTTTACATGCGGCAAGTGCAAAAAGAAGAACTGTACATATACTCAGGTATGTGGTTATTCAGATTGTTGATTTTCCCTTTCCAAATTTAACTTCTATATAAAGATTGTCAGAGAGAAAAATAGTTCTAATTACAAAATGAACAAGTAACAAAATGTTAAAAAAAATTACAAAATTTGTGGAGAAGTTGGAAGTACTTGTGTGCTTACATGAAAAATGTTTATTGTATTAGTTTACCAAAAATTTCATGTAAATCCTAGCTAAGCATCTAAATAGCTTGAAACATCAGTTTCTTGCAGTTTTTGCTTACTCTTCTGATTACGTCTTAGTGACATGCTGCTAATACAGAGGAATTAATTTGCTATTTAAATATGGTTAAACTATTTTTCTTTGAAGATAGTAAATAGTGAAAATAGTGATACATATAATCTATAATTTAACTAATGTTAGGCCCTGATTTATAACCATTCCGAAAACCTTTTTTTGTTTAATTAGGAAACATATACAAAAAAGCTGCCTTAATTTGTTCAGCAGTGCTGCAGGGCATGTATCTTTAATCACAGAATCAACTACATTCACAATGCAATATTGTATAATAGATGCTTGGAGTAGAAAGCTGTTTCTTACTCATGAGACTTCTTAGCGTTTTCTTGAGTAAATATGTGGAAAGCTGTTCTGAATGTGTAGTTCTACTGCAGGCTTATTTCCTAGAAGTATATGCACAGTGTTTCATTGCTGCAATTGGTATCTTTAGTACTTCTAAATCTGTCAAAACATAAGCTCATAGGTCTGTTTTATATTCTATACATAAATCTGCATACATAAATTGGTATGAAAAGTTAACCTATGTTTTTATACAAATGTGTTTCTTAAAGGTTTAAAATCAAAGTTTAACGTTAACACTGAATGTATACTAGCAAAAGCTGAAGATGCTAATTTTCTTTTTCTACTTTGGCCCTTGCCTTTGCTGAAGGTTCAAACCCGCAGTGCTGATGAACCTATGACAACATTTGTTGTGTGTAATGAATGTGGAAACAGATGGAAGGTAAGACCATTAGACTGTTTTGCATATTTGGTAGTAGACAGTCAGGCTTTGTGCTTAATTTTCTCTTTTAAGGTAAATAACAAATGAGTTTCTGTTGTCTTGTGATTATTTCCTAAACCATTGATTAATTTTGTATGTTGATATTGCCAAATAGCTTTAGGTTAGAAAAACACCCTTGATTGAAGATGTGAGAACACATAGGCCCGGGGGAGGGCAGGGCGAGAAAAGTCGGGACGTTGACTTAGACCTTGTGGCATTCAGGTACAAGTTCTCTGCTTTGCCTTAAAAAGCTGTGGCAAGCCCATATCTGTTTTTGCCTTGTTTCTCCAAAGGAGGTTCTCACCTTTTTTTAATTTCTACTCCTATGAATAAAGTAGGTCTTTTTTGACCTTTTCTTGTTTTGTTTTTTTGTTTTCACTACCCTGAAAAGAAGGGCAGATGAAAAAGAGATGACTTCTGCCAGATTCCTGTGTCAGGATAGAAAGTGTGAGATAGTGATAACTTGATTGAATTTCTTAAAGGTCAGGAAATGGGAATTTCAAAAACTTCTGGAGAACAGTGGTAGCCCAGTAAAGTGGGGAAATATCTAAAGGAAGGGCTGTAAAATTTTCAGCTTAGGTGTGGTAACATACAATACAAAGCACAAAGTCTTTATTCCGTTATTTTTTCAATGTTAAGGATGCTGCAGCTCTGCAGAATCATGTTGCAAAACATACCTTAAGATAAATCAGATGTAGAAAACAGGGGTTTTTTTATGCAGTTAAGTTTTACATAGCTTCGTATTGAATACAGGTCAAATCTATAAAATCTATACTCCAGGATATCTAAATAATTTAGAAAGTTTAGAAACTTTAAAAAAAGTTTTATTCTGCACATAGAAGAAACAGTTCATTGGTCCCTAAAACTTTCTATAAGGTGGCAGTTAAAAAAAAAAAAAAGGAAAAACCTCAATCTCCTTATAAAGATGCTTGACTGAAGGAATGTTAGTATGATATAACCCAATGCTCTAAATAATTATTTCCACATCTTAAGTATGGTGTCATTTTCTTCTTGCAAAGATTTAGAAATAAGCTGTGTAAAGATCTCATAAAATATTTCTTTTCTTTTGACAGTTCTGTTAAAAGAAGAAATTATCAAGACGTCTGGACCAGTATGAAAGAGGGTTTTGTAATTAGCTTTAAAAACTAGGCTAAGCATCTAGCATCCTGCAAATGAGAGGGTGGTTCTTTTGTTTCGGGATTTTTTTTTTTTTTTGGTTAAGCCACATACATCCCTGAAGTTAGCCTTTGTTTTGACACAACCATCATTTCCTTAAATGCCTTCCTATAGCTAATAGTCAGTAGGGCCAGGTTGCTCAGTTGTATGGTGAATGTTAAAATATTTTTTCATTTTTATAAGTAAGTTGACATTAAACTTTTACCAATTAAACGTTTGGTAACTGGCTTATTTTTTCCTAAATATGTGAATATTGTACTGTATTTTTTTTTTAACAGTCCGAAACATGCCTCCTCCTCCCATATGTATTTTACCTCTCCACTTTTGTAAAATTGTAAGAATGGATTGTGTTTCTTGCTGGTGTGTTTACTAATTTTGCAAAGAGAAAAGGCATCCAACTTGATTTTAATCATGTTGAAACCAAATTGTGGTTCAGTTAACAAATGGGTATCTCTCTGGATTGTACATACCATTTCTGAATTAGCACTAAAATTTTCATCACGGGGTTTGGAAATCTCTTAGTGATATGATATGTTGACCTCTTTTTGCAACAGTTGGTTAAGCCTGTTCATGTAACCAGCTTTAATCAATGCAATTTATTTTATTGCCCTAAAGCATATATGTTATGTTCTATCAGTAGGTATTATTTGTAGGAACATCTTTAAAAAGTTGGTTAAATTTGATTCAATTGTTCTGTTTTGCTTAACGTGCTTGCCAATGACGCTTGTTTAAACTTTGTAAAGAAGCAAAGGCATTTTGTAGTAGGCTGTCCTAATTACAGCCAGTTGAATTCATCAAAAGACAAGTTGGCTGGGGTATTAATATTAAATTTATTTCATATAAATGACAGTAATTTTGTTCCTGAACTGAATTTCAAAATGTAGAGTAACTGAGGTGACCCGTAACCATGGAGGCCAGAAGAACAAGTGGGATGATAGAAATGCTATTTGTTAGAGCCTGTTCTTTTCACAGTGCACGTGTTAAGAAAGCATTTGGAAAATACTTTTAAAGAAAAACATGTCAACATCTTTGAAGAGATAAAATATTTACATTACACCTAAGTTTGTATTGTCATTTAATTTATCTAAGCCTGGGGCTGAAGAGGTCTATCCTGGCAATGTATAAAGTATATGTAGTTTCTGGAGAATAAATTTGTTGACTGTAAAGGACAAATAGGATTTTTTGTTGATTTTTTTTTTTTAATGTGATAGAGGCAGGTGAAAGCATGAGATAGTATGATGATATTTCAGCTTTACAAGGCAAAAAGTGTTTGTTAAATACTTGATAGAGCAAGCTTTCACTCTTCTGCCTCTGAGGTAAAAACAGAAGCTTTTTTCATGTAGTGAAAGATGAAGCCAAAGGAAAACAGACTTTTCCCTTGAAAGGAAAAATGATTAAAACAAGAATTTAGTTTGGTTACATTTGCAAGCATTATTAAGGCAGAAAATTGTTCAGTGTTTCTAAGTTTCTTAGTACTTTATATAAAAACAGTATTTTATATTACTGCTCTAATTCAGAATAATTCCTCTGTTAACTTTTAGAGTCAGTTTATATTTGGACCGCTTGGCAGGGTTGCTTCTTAAGAGTCATTTAAAGGTGCATAATTTTTTAAAAAAATTTGTTTAAGACAGCAGCAATTGAATTGCAGATGTTTAGAATCAATGATAGTGCTTTGCTTTGAAGTATTTTTAAAAGAATAAGTCCAAAAAATTGTATTTAAAAACGATTGCAAATCAAGTGTCCATTACATCTAAATTTGTTTTGCTGTTCAAAATATATACAGGACAGGTTTGGTTTACATTACCTGCTTCACGTTACATTTCTTTAAGTCTGTATGTCCAACTGTGACGCACAGGAGAAGTATTCTTCATGAGAAAATATAGTAATTGTTTTTCTGTACCTACTGAGTTATATATGGAACCTATTACAAGAGCTAGAACTGTGTTAGTGCTTTCTGTGATGTATGTGTATCCAGTAGGAGCTCAAATAAGACACTTGTTTCACCTAATGTTACCTTGTGGCCATGGCAACAGCCTTCATGCTTTCACTCTTCTGCCTCTGAGGTAAAAACAGAAGCTTTTTTCATGTAGTGAAAGATGAAGCCCAAGAACTAGATCCAAAAAAAAATGTAGGTGTCTAAATTCTATTCATGCTTCATTTCGGTACCCAAATCCAAAGTGCAAACTGCTCAGCAGTGAGCTCTGGATGCACCTTTGTTCAACTGGTGCGTCAGTTCTCAATTGCCCAAAGTTGTCTTCCCGTATCAGAGAGGATACAAAATATGAAGACTGTATAGAAGTTTTTAGACCTGGGGCTGGAACCATATCTCACTTTCCCAGATGCTTGGCTTACCTACTCAGTCATACTGTGACTGGCCCAGTACACTGGAATTTTTGAAATATGTCAGCATGTTAGTGGTGATTGGTGACGAATCTCTTATCCACGAATAGCTTTAGCAAGCTTCTTTAGTGTCCTTAGGGTTATTTGAATCCTCTTTAGCAAAAGAGAGACTTGAACACAGTTGCCCTACAATCTAAGCTAATGTTTTAACACTATTACAGAAAAAGAAGTAGCCATATTTCTTAAAATTGAGGAAAGAAAAGTTTTTTTTAAGTGTCATTTTTCTTCAGTAAGATAGACTGTAGGTTTTTGCTCAGAAAATGGTTGTAGCTTCTGGATTCTTAGTTGGAAGGCATTTCTTCATATATAACTCTGGTACCTTCCCCAGAAGTGTGGGTTTTAAAATATCTTGTCCTGAATGATTTGACTAAAGCTAAGCGGAAGGGTAAATATTAGCTCAGTGATCTCAGCCTTTATGAATCCCGTTTTGAAGTCCTGCAGCGCTTTCCAAGCATTATGGGGGAAGTGCCCTTTTTTGTTTTTCGTTTGTTTGGTTTTTTTTTAATTTGGAGTTCTGGATTCCACTTCTGTTCACATACATGAATTTAACTGGCAGCTTAAAATCCATAACAACTCAGGTAGAACTTAAGTTCCTCAATCTGAAGTCTTCGTTCCCCCCAGAGTGGTTGTATTAGCTTTCAAATGCGTGACCTTTGGAATAGATGATTAGTACTCATCCATATAATTAAATTTGAGGAGTTTCACCTCCTTAAGTAGAATTCCATACCCATGTATATTAGCTTCTATTTCAATAGATCATTAATCAGCTTGAATTGTTTTACCATTTGAAAAGGTTTCGGATTAATTTAGTTACAACATTAATATAAAAAAAACCTTTCCATTAACGTTGTCATTGAAATGATAGTTTTTATGGCAGTATATTTGTAGTCTCAAATACTGTTTAGAGCAAACTTGTTTTAAAATTATTTTGTACTGAGACAGTGTGACAAATTCTAATTTATCTTTTAGAGTATATTGCCTGAAAGGCTCTGCTGTATTTAGTCATTTTTTTTTCTTCATTTGCATTGTGCTAATGAATTTGGAATTTAAAGGTCAGTGTAAAGCACAATATGCTGGCTGAAGGAGTCCATACAATTTTAATACTGTTTAGCAGGCTCTTGAAAAGAGCAGTCTTTAACACTGTGCATGTTCTGTGGGAGTTATTGGATTGTAAAGTGCAGACACTCAAAAACGAATACCAGTGGACTTGGAAAATTTTTACAGCTTAATGATATCCTGCAGTTAGATAAATGCCAAGACAAACCAGCCATGCTTATTTTCAAGCTATGATAAATTCATTTTTGTGATAATTTTGGACTTTAATGATATAGTATCTTGTGTCAGTGATTGTTTTGTCCTCCTATTGGTGTAACAGCTTGCCTACAATAACTTTTCCATTTCAGTGGAACTCATATTTGCCTGAGAAGACATAAATTTGTGCATAATTAGCAAATATATAGTAATGAAATGCAATTAATAAACTGTCTTCTGTGTGGGTGGGTTTTTTGTTGTTTTTTTGTTTGTTTTTTCTTTAACTGCAGCATTAAACAGCCTCAGAATGACATAATAGTATTGTTTTGTTTTGTTTTGTTTTGAGGGGAGGGAGGGTGTTAAGAGATATTCTCAGGATATCTAGGGACCAGAATTCTGCCATGGGTCTTGAGCGTAAGGTTAAACCTAAATACAGCATGACAGTTTGTTAAGATTTTTCAGGAAGGATCATCACATTGCAGTAATACAGAAATAAAATAAAAATTGCCTAGACAATTTTATTTAACATTTGAGGGACACAGAAAATAAGCTTAGAAACTATTCTTTTCCTTTAATAATCTGATATTAACCACAGAACTACCCAAATCAATCCTGTTTTTTTTTTTCTCCCCTTTAATTTCAATTTATCTTTTTCTCAGAGAATAATAGAATATATATTGTTTGATATAAAGTTTGATTGTTCAGTTTGTCATCTAACTCTTAATGAAGTATCTTTGCAAGGAAGAGAGAGAACTTAAAGGAAACTAAATCCTCTGTTTCATGAAATGACACAGCTTTGAACTTTTTTGATGCATGAGTCTAATCTTTCCAACAAGCTGAATTTGACCTACTTAAACTTACTTTGTCAGTTTTACAACAGCCTTACCCAACCTAATCAAAACAGTAAGTGTAGCATTGTCAGTTGGAGTGTAAGCTCCGTCTAAATGCTGCCTTACCAATATGTCCAGTTTGATCTTTGTTGAAGTTGCTGCCTGTCATCCAATACTACTTGTAAACTGAGATTGTATTGAGAGTGCATTGGGTATGTGATAAATGGATGATGATAATATATTAGGCAGTGGCAACCACTAACTGGACCATGTCATTAATAGTAGTGCATGGAAAGGCTTCCTCTTAACTTTTTTTTTCTAAGATGACATAATGACTTTTTTTTTTTAACTTGCCTTGTGTCAGCTCTTCTCCCATGATACTGTATAATGAAAAGTCTTATTATTATTTATTTGATAGTGTTGATGCAAGAAGGAGAAAACATGTCTCCTGCTTTGTGCATTGAAGAAGCCAGTAAATTGACTTCTTAAATTCTGCTTAGGTCCCTTTTTCAGAGAGAGGAAGTCCCATTTTGTCCTTTTCATAGTGTTGGAATTAGGCAAATAGTAGGCTGTAGAAAGATTACAGTAATGTCACTGAACTATGGCTGTATAACTCTCTCCTGTTTCCTTTTTTTTTTTCCTTTTTGTTTCATTCTGTTCTGTCGCCCTTCTTTCCATGTACTAATACGCCGTATGTCATTTGGTTCATTAAAATGAATGTGCGGGAGGGAAAATAGAATTTAATGGAAGTTTACTGTAAACTCCAAATTTTAATTGAGTGGGATTGTAAAAAAAAAATCTCATAATTTGAAAAAAAGTTATTATAATAAGAGATCTACAAATAGATTATGCTGATTTGACTTGTTTTCTTCCTAGAACTTGCAGTGATTACCAATTTTGATGTACACAAAAGTGCTTACGGGGAGATATCTGTCAAAAATCAAGTGTAATGCTTTGGGGATAATGTAAATGAACATGGATTTTCTTTTGGACAGTCTGAAATAATGCCTTATCAGCACAGGATAGTTCTAGCTTCTTTCTTTGGTTAATGAAATATATGAATGTCTGTAAACTAAACATGTCATATAACTGGGGAGAGCTTAACATTGTGCAAAGACAAGATGGTTGATACTGCCAGTCTCTCAGGAACAAGTAGTGAAATATTTTTTTTTACATCTGCAGAGTGAAGAGAACAATACATGAGAATTCTTGTGCTTTATTTAAGAATTTAAATGCCCAGACTCTTCTTCCTGTTAAGTAAATAATTTAACTTTAAAAACATCAACAGTATGAACTTAAAAATGTTTTGAGCAGATTCTTGGTAGTAAAATAACACTTTTTCAGGAAAAAGATTTTTTTTTTTTTTTACAGGCAGCATTATTTCAACCACTAGCTTTCATGAACTCGAGGTTGCCATACTGATTTTCATTAGCCCACTGCATATGGGTTAAATACATATTCTAAAACAAGTGGAGTGTACCCGTGCCAGGTACAACTTGTACAATATGTGAAACTTTGGTCTAGTATAATCCAGATATTGACAGCATAACAGTTTTTATTTTGCTCATTGTATGGATGGGGAAACTGGTTTGAGTATCAACTGTAGCACTCCACTTAAAAATAACATCTAGTTTTCATGCTCATTTGGCAATTTTACTTTGGAGATACGTCCCTTTATGAGAGATTTGTGTCCAAGTTGCATGCTGCATTGTAAAAAATACTTTTTTTAAACAATAACATTTTCTCTTCATCCTTTTCATTCTTGTTTGCAAAGCAATACTTTTTGTGATCAGAAACTGTAGCTAACTACAGTGTCAGAGCCTTGTGCAGATTTTAAAACATCCAGTCTGTATTAAAACTTGCCTGAGTTATTTTCAGGTAAATCATCTGGTTAATTCTAAATTCCCTGTTGATTGATGTAGCCCAGCATTCCATTTGTTTTAAAATAAATACATTTGAGAGAGAATCCTATGCTTCAATGGATTTTTCAGATAAGGACCGAAGCAACTCCTTATAAATAGCAGAGTTCATAAAGCGTGGGTAGGAGTCTCTGTGCATTAAGGTATAAATTTGAAGCTGTGCGTCATCGAAGGTATGTTGTGAGGGTTCCAGCATGTTTCGGTTAATAACTTCTCGTACTCTGGAGTCCAGACTGACCTGCATATTAAAATAAAAAGTCATGTAAATGGTAGCAGTGTGAAATACACATGCTTTTTTCCAGCTCTTTTGGCTTGAAAAAAGCAGCCTTTGTTAACCGTTTCAGTTGGCATCCTTCAAGAGTGTAAAGACTGTTCAATATACATAGGCTAAAACTGGCTGTATTCAAATTTTGAAGTAGTGATCTGTTGAGTATGGATAAAGGAATTCTCTCACTTAGGAAACCTTATTTTGAACAATGCTGCTTGCAATACTATTATTACTAAAACCTGTGAGACTGGTAGAATTTTCTTCTGCAGAGTAATTTCATGCTCTGTAATAGAGTGAATTTGTAATTTTTTGTGACGTTTTGTTTCCTTGGGAATTAGTGCTGTTGCAAAGAGCCTGAATTCAGAGTGAGTAGTATTACGCAAAAGGAAACTGTAACCTAGGAAGTTGTTGATTAATCAAATTTGTATGTTAAAAAGCAGGGTGAATTGAATATAAACATCAAGTAGCCATATAATGCTTCCATGTGTGTAATGTTTTGCATTTTTTTTTCTTTCTCTCTTGCAAGGCAGTAGTCTTTATAAAGATGTTAGCATTACTGGAATAGACTGATTAGATTAATGTTGTTTTTATCTGCACAAGTACGGTTTGCACCACAATCAGTTAAGTTTATGAATTTTGCAAGGAAGTTAGAAGGTTTAAAATTCTAGCTTCTTTGTAGGATAATGTTCAAACTGATCTGAGATGTCTTTGAACGTGACATATTTGCTAACAGTGAAGTGACAGGTAGCTTTGAAAATTTTCAGAGTCAGTTTTTTGATTTATGTCATATTTTGTCAGCTGCTCTGTGGCAAACAACAGACGTTCTGTGCTTACTGTGCTTGTAAAGCATCCCCTCCCCTTCTTAGTGCAAAGAGAAAAGAAATTGATTTGTCCAGCAAATAAATTTTAAGTTTTTTGCGCAAAGATGAAGTCTTCATCTGTACCTTTGTTGTGCCTCAAACCTAAAGACTTCACATTAGTGTGCCCTGGTAGCAATATGAGTAGTTTTCTAACAGCAAGTGAAAATTGTTTTGACTATATCACTACAATGTTGAGTTTGCTTTTTTTTCCCCTTCTAAATCTCTCTTTATTAACAGTAGAATGCATAGGGGAAAAAAAAATCCTTAGATGTTTTTGTGGTTTTAAGTTAAACTGTTTAAGTTTTAAGCTGTGCAAAGCAGCATCAAAGAATGTACTGGAGAAAGCAATGTACCTCTTTTGGAGAAAGGATAGAAATATAATCTTCATAAATTAGTCTTGCTTTTTCTTCAATGACACTTTTGTTGGATTCTTGTTTTAGTTCCTCACAGGCCATCCAGAAAAGCATATTTTCCTCACTGAATTCTGTTCGGAGGAACTCACGAAAAGCATTTCTGCCAGCTGGAGTAAGCATTAGTTTGTCAAATGACTGAGCCCAGGCATTCACCTCTTCAAGAGTAGGAGCAGGGCTTGAGGAAGAAAGAGAGGACAAGAGAAATGAATGATTGCTACTCAAGCTGTTTTCACCTGGTAGAAGGCATCTGCTGTCATGATGGAACAAAAATACAAGGTTCATGTGGCTCTAATTCCTCACCTGAACTACCCAAGCGCAAATTCTAGGAAACATAAGATGCTTTTTGAAAGTGGGCTTATCAAAAGCTCAGGCACAGGTGATTGCCTGGGCTTTGATGCAGAAATCCAGTTTATTGCTCAAAGTAGTAGCAACAAAGGAGTAGTCCCTCTACAACCACTAAATAGGCTTTTTTTCTACAGATAATAGTCCTCATTGAAACATTGTTAAAAAATGAATGAAAATATGCAGAAAGAAGCATGGAGGCAAATATAAAAGGTGCTCTCCGGTCTTTTGAGGTTTTGCAGGTGCTCCAACCTGTTTGAGCAATGCTGAAGACGCAGTTGTGTGACTCTTGAGAGCATCTCAGTTCCCCTTTATATTTATTCTTTGTGTACGGCTGAGCACTGCCAGTTGGCTTGGTTAAATACTTGCTGAGTGGGAGAAGGATGCATTTAAAAACTATTTCAGAAAAAAGGAAAACTGTTTACTATGCTTTTTTGATCTGCCATCTTATGAAAGTTGTGATGTGGTTACATGCTGCATATAAATAAAAGATTATAGATCAGACCTTTGGTTCGTTATAAGTTAGACATGGCTGCAAATTCAGTTTAAATGACATGGATAATAATATTTTTTTGCATATTTCAGGTAATTTATTTTAAACATTTACTGTGATTTGATTTTTGTTGGTTTTGTTGTTACTTCTTTTTTAGTTTAATATAATGCTTAATAAAGAGTGTACCTTTCCTCGCAATTTGGAATACCCTCTGTTTGGAGTTCATGGGATGTTGTTCTTGCTCTCTCTTCATCTTGATTTCTAACAGTAAGACTGCAAGATAAAAAACAAAAGTTTAATTAGCTTTGTAAAGGCAGAGGCTGAACTGTGCCAGATGTTTTGCTTTTAATGTTTTGCAAAATTATGTTAACAGAGCAGAAGCTATGAGTAGCCACATGACCACAGTTATACTCTTGACACTCGTTTGACACTTGCGTAACTCTGGTGAGCTTTAACATAGCTGATTACTGTTCAAAGTTATATAATGTAGGCTTTCTGTACAGGGTTAATTTGTGTATACATGAGTACCCTTTATCAGGTACCAAATCCATATTCCATACAGGCTTATTATGCTGCATTTTGTGTGCTTGATGCAATGGTTTTATGCAAGTGAGACTTCAAGGGTTTTTTTTTTGGAAAGATGATTCTTTGTGGGGTATGAACCCTGGTTATTTTTTATATGCACAGGGCATGATGAGTGCTGGCTGTAGAATGATACTGTATTACAAGAAAGCCAGTGTTTAGCAACTGGAACTCGAGTTTGAAGCAAGGTCAACACCTTTACATGTGGATGTTCAAGTGTAGCCATAGCTACATAGTATGGTTATTGATCGCAGCCTTGAGAAAATGCTAGTATATGATTCAAAAATTAAGGCCTAGAACAAAAAATAAGCAGATGCATCGTTGCTAAATATCACTTTCAGCATGTCTGACTGGAAATGAGTGTTAGTTTGTTGGTCTTTGTAGCATTAATATAAAAATAAATGCTTGCTGCAATCACTAGTCATCCCTGAGAGATTGTTTTTGATGTCCCTCGGAAGGGTAGGTGCCAACTCCTGCTGCTCTGATCAAATGCTAATTTAGATAACTCTGTAGTTGTTTAAAAAAAAAAATCCTTTTATAGTTTCAGCTACTGAGGATTCTTTGTCTTTAAGGCTTAATTTGAGAATGTGTCTGTTTCCTTTTAGGGAATGGTGACTGTATTCCAGTTCATAAATAATCACAGTTCAGTGAGAAATAACTCATACATGCATGTGCATGCACGCAGATACATTCATATCATGTGTAAAGCTGCTTAAAATTTGTCAAGAAGAAAAGGTCCTAGTGAACGATAACCCACAATTTATAAGAACCAGGTCCTCCAGCTGGAATAAAGCAATAAAGTTGTTATAACTTCTAGGAAAATATAATACTCAATTTCTTCATTTATTATCTTACCTCTCTTTAATGTAAGTTTGTTGCTTTAATTCTTAGGAATCTAATTCATCTGAAGCAAGGCTTTTTGTTAAACCAATTGATTTTTCTTTCCTTACTTCCTCTTAAACTCATTGTTTTGTAATATTTGCAGCCTTACCACTTACTGGTTATCTCCTCTTACTCTCCAGTGTTAGTCCATAATCTGCAGAGAACTTTCTGGAGGATGGAGAATGTAAACATTTTTAAGGCTTAAGAAGAGTGGCTGGAGGCTGGCAAGAGAGGAGAGAGATGCTTTTCTCTTTGCCAGTGGAGTCCATGTATTGAAAAGATGGGGAACCTTTCCTGTTACGAAGTTGGATAGCAATCATATTTTGCAAATTCATTTTTTGTGCAAAATCTGAACCATGCATTCAAACCAGTGACCTATCTGAGTGCACCTTTTCAGTAAAGAAAGCAAGCAGTTAAAGAATGTTAGCACTGTATTCTCTTTGGGGTGTATTGGACCCAATCCTATACTAGTTGCCAGTGATTCTGGCATTTTTTAATATGAAAAATGAGTATGTCATGGATTACACACACATGCATGCACACACAGTAATATGTTTGTCATGAGTTTTGTAGAGTGAGGGGGGCCAACAGATCAAGAAAGGAGTACAGTCCTTATAAGAAAATACATGAAATGGAAAAAGGCATATGAAATAACAACAGCTTTCTGAAGAGGAATGGGCCATGACTTACAAAATGTCCTGGGAGATAGGCTAAGTCCCTAGAAATGTACAGGTAAAGAGCAAAGAGACAGAATGTGTGCAATGCTGTTTTCTCAGGTTCTGGAAGAGCAGCAAGCTGGAGGCTTGAGTTTTGGCTGTAGGAACAAACACAGGCTCTGAGCATCCAGGTTATGAGACTCATTTCACCATTTCTTCCCTCTAAATCTACTATTAGGAGGATGCTGAATGCTGGATGTTCTGCAAATCAGCTGCATGACTCATGTAGACTTATTTTTATTCCTATTCATATTTTTTCTGTTCAAAGTACTTGAGCTATTTTGAGGAAAGACTTTATGAATGGGGAATATAAATAGCTTAATTGCAGTTTGTTTTGCATTTTTTGCTACTAGCAACAATTGTTCTCCAAAAAAAAAAAAAATCAAATTATTTTAAAGCTAAAACAGGCTACTCTGTTCTGTAGCCTCCACCAGTTTCCAGGTGATTCTGAAATGCAAATAGAAATTTTAAGCATCATGGCATTTGGGTAATTTCATACACCCTGTTGTGTAAATTACTTTCTTTGAATTGTTTGAATAGTGAGGCGTACAGAAAACAAACATCCTTGGGAATATCAGGTAAAATGACAAAAAAGTTTATCAACAATTTAAAAGATAAAATGCAATTTTTATGTACTCTGACTTAATAGATAAATGTGCCTTCTCTGTCTCTCATGGAATGATGTGTGTGTGTGTGTGTGTGTGTAATAAGCAGCTCTAGATTGTCATCTGCAGAGCTGTCAGTGCACTGGAATTTGTATGGTGATACTTTTAACTCAGGCACCATTCTGCAAGATACCAAACTCTGATCCTGAACAGGCACAACACTGAAGTGCATGTTTGCCTCTAAGCACCTGCTTAAAAGCTTTATAGGATCAGAGCCAGAGTACCTTGCAAAATAAAGCCCTAGTTCCTTGCAAAATACTCACTGTTTACATTAGAAAGGGCAGAACTGGTTATCTAAGCTTCTGATTATTGAAAACTGAGTGCCAATAACAAGGGAATGATCAGCTTGCTCCTTCTTTGCTTATAATGTTCTTCCCCAAAGCATTTGCTCTTGGCTGCTCTTATTTAAAAAAAAAAAAAAAGGTGGAATAGAGTCGTTTCCTGCCTGTAAAGATAGATTCTAAGTTATTCTTTTTTCCCTTCTTCTCAATGCCAGGTTTGCTTGCCTTGAAGTGTTTCCATATGATGCATGTTTCCATGTGTATCTACAGTATGGTAGATTTATAGTGCATTTATAAGAAGCACTCAGCTTGCTATAAGTGCTTTGGTTGAATTGCTGTGGCTTTTTAAGACTTTATTTTTCTTTATTTCAGTGCAAGTCTCACACATTAATTAGTGCTGGCCCCAAACGGACACAGAACTTTTGAGTATGGCAGGTTTTACCTTCAGTTTTGAGTGAAATCGCTTGGATCTTGCAGAGTTGATATGTGAGATAAGAAGAACACATTACTCCTTTATTAAGGAATGAAGCAATGCTTTTCCCTTGCTTGCTTTGCTTCCTCAGTATATTTTCCTCCTTAATGCCCTGTAGTGGGAGTTCCTGTAAATTGCATTCTGCTTAATTCCTTGTCTTCAACAAATAATGCATAGTGTTTAAAGTCTCTAATCCCAAGGATATTACTTCACATAAATAGCAGGTGCCATGAGTTGACAGCCCTAATTAATGGCAACAGGTCCACTTGCCATTAAAAAACAAAACAAAACGAAAAGTGCTGGAGAAGTGGTTATTAGTTGACTTGCACATTCTTTCAGCTACTCCTAATTCCATTTAACACAGTCCATGCTCTTCGTTATGTCCCAACCCTACATCTAAAACTGTTAAATGTTCTGGTATTGCTTTCATTTTTTCTGGAAGCCCTGATGATGCTCAAGAGAGCTTCAAGGGGAGAAACCAGTCCTCCTGCACAAACAAAGCATCCATTACACAGTAATGAAACAGAAGTAGCGATAATGTATAATTCCAAGGCATAAGGTAGTGAGAAGCAACTGAATGGTGGTGTAAAAACTGCTTCTATGAGTATCGCTTGTCTTATTCAAGAGCACAGTGTCAAATGTTTTCTTCTAATTAATATAGGTTTTGTATGGGCATGAAGTGTTCATTTGACAGGTGGTGAATCAGCCAAGAAGTGACAGTTCAAGGAAAAGGCCAAGACAAACCAGTTCTTACGCAGCTGGAAACAAAAAGATACCATGAAATAAACAAAAAATTGACAAATAATGTTACTGTTCATTTTGTCTCCAAAGAAAAGGTAGAATAGCAGGATATTTCCTCATACCTGCAGTTACATGGGACTGGTTAGGTTTGGGCCTGTTCCTTCAACTGCTTAGGTGTTATATGCTCTGACCGTGAGCACTAATCTGGACAACAAAAAGACAAAAGATTTTTCTGAGCCGGGAGCCTAGGTCTAGAGCCAAACAATTCCATCGCCTTAGAAGAATAAGCACTGAATACTTTTAAAGTAAATCAAACGTGTGCATCTACTGTCTCTTGTAGAAAACTTTTGAAGCTGCCTTCTCCTGACATTCATATTTGTATAACACTGTACAACAGAACTGTGATGTGATCAGGCTTTTGCACGTTACCACACAGAAGTTAAACTACTTTATTTACATAATATGCAATATTTTTAGTTCTTTTGGGGGGTGAAAATAGATTTGATTTCTGAGATAGGAGTACTGCTTTTGGTACTGTGTAGGATGACACTGTGATAATATGTTATCAGTTTGTCAAAAGTGTATTAGCAGTAGAGCTCCTTTTTGTGTTAATTGGAGTTGCATAGAAATACTTTACAGGAAGCTTTGCGTGTTCTTATTTTTTTTTGAAATGTGCAGGGATCTCATAAGATAATTCATATTATTTTGGGACCCAGAATTTTGTCTATTTTATATGAAAAGGGTAAGTAGTGGTGTTTTGGCTTTTTTAATGTTTTAATTTACCAGTGGCATTTCTAGTGGAGAGAGAAGTGGGAGGGGAAAAAAGAAGTTTCTAAAGCTTTCTGAAGCTACTGGAATTGTATACTTCTACAGTAATGCTATATCTGACCCTTATCACCTGGATTTGGATACCTTGATCCAGTTCATGTTTAACTTCTTCCTTTCTCAGTGTTTTTTCATTAGTTTTTAGGATTTGGGAACATTGCCTAATACTTAAGGTACACCACTGGGATCAAAGAAATTCCGTGTTCTACACCAGCTTTGCTGACAGGGCTTTGGTGAGTTACTCAG